TTACATTATGTCAGACGCACACACAGTCATATATATATATATATGGTAATATTAGCAGTTTCTTTATGAGAAAGCATTCGACATTCATTAACCGAGCAGCTAGTGCTACTTTTGTTTAAAATCTTTCTCTCAATTCACTTTCAGAAAAATAGGTTTCGCATGTGCAGTATTGCTTTTTCCACTATAGATAAGGGGTTTCCTTTCGAAAACTTTTCTTTGAAGTAGTGTGGACCGTGAACAGTACATCATTCTTTTTTTCGAGTTGCATGGACTATGTATATAAGTTGTTTCTGCTGCTGAAAGTACCCAAGGGATGTGGCACGGTTCTTTGTGATTCTGTAGCATCTGTCCAAGAGGTTCGAAGATGGACGATCCTCAGTAATACTTACAGGGTTCATTCGCTCGAAGTGATTTTTAACAATTCATCTTAGAAGGCGATTGTATAAAGCTGACAGTTTCAATATTTCTGAACGAGTTTTGTGTCATGTCAAAGAGACATGAAGAATAATTATAACTGAAAGCAAAGAAATGGAAATATTATATTGAATCAATTGTTAGGTCTTTATGCTATTAGGTTATAATGACGTAATAATGTCGTTTTGTAACGTATTTTTTAACGTCAAAAAACGACACTATTACGTCATTATTTTTGCACCCACCTAATGATAAAGTTGGTTCACTGTGTTTTGATAGATTTATAAGTCTACCATTCATTGAATATTGCTGACACATCTATGCTATGTATTTAGAGATTCGTGATAAAAACCAAAGAAGAATCTGCAATGTTATTAGTTCTGTCCTGTCATCTTGGCTTCAGTCACTTTCTCACAGCCGTAACCTAGCTTCCCTGTGCCTTTTCTATAAAGTTTCATGGTAATTGTTCTGATGAGCTTCGGTTTTTGGTATCTAGAGTTGATGAATTTAAACGTAATACTAGATTGGCGACAAGGTTTCATTATCTTACGGTTGAAATGGCTAAATGTAACCGTAAGTTCTATGCTAACAGTTTCTTCTTTCACACTTCTCGCTTGTGGAACTCCCTTCCGGATTCTTGCTTCCCAATCAGATTTGATCTTGAAAAATTTAAATACAATGTCAATTGTTTTCTTCTGTCTTCTTAATTCCTGTTATTTTGTTATATTTCGTTCATTATGTCTTCGTTTTCTCATATTTTCTCACGCCGAGTAAACCTTTGTTCCTGAGTGACTTTATTTGCTTGTGGTGAAATGATTTTAAAAAATATTATTAATTGACCGATATTGGTAAAGATTTCATTATATAGTCGTACTTATAAGAGTAATTTAGGATATTAGTTTTAGCTTATAATATCTTTTTTATACAAGGCCCAAGAACTCTTCGAGGGAGAGGGTTTGAGAGTAAAAGGCACAGTTTATGGGGATATGTGGTGAAGATAAAGGTTGAATAGGTTAAAACTGTAGTGATCGGGGAAGCATCCTCTTGGGAGTCGTTTCCACAAATCAGCAGTTCGTGGGAAGAATCTGCCTACAATACTTTTTCAAGATAAGCCCCACCTCCCCAGTTTTCTTGTAAGACATCTTGATTGACTATTTCCATGAAATGATCCAAACCTCTAACCCAGCCATCACGCCTGTCCAATGTAGCTTTACATTCATCAGAAAAGGCTGAAAAAATCAATTTTGTACTTCACCTAACTTATAATATTTTGTGGTGTTTACTTAAAGGTGATAACTTGGGTGCTTTACTTATTTACAAGCAATCTTGGTAATATTCTCCAATATTAATTATTCTACAACATTTAAATTCAAAACCTTAAAGTCACAAGGTCTTAAGTCTAGATTCCTGGCTGGTCACTCATACATCAAATAGGGAGTTACTTTTCAATCACCTTAGATAGAGCCAAATTGACAAGAATATGGAGAAGCAAAATCAGCTTTCAAACAAAGTACAGTTTACAAATCGCTGGTAGTCTCCATTCTCCTATACGGATATGAAACATGGACACTGTTGGCAGATACAGAGGGAAAGGTCCAAGCATTTGAAAACAAATGCACGAAAAAAAAATCCTTGGCATTTTCTATTAGTAACAGAACCCCCCTCAAAAAAAAAAACAAACAAAAAAAATCCCAAACAAACAAAAACCAGTGAGTTCGTGGGAAAAAGGGTTGAAAGTTTTGTGGGATACTAGGAACCTCTTCTCGACACTGTTTGTCTTCGCTTATTACTCTACACACACACACACACACACACACACACACACACACGCACACACACACACACACACACACACATATATATATATATATATATATGGTAAAAATTTCAAACAATTTAAAAATTTATTTTATCTTGACATGTTTTGCTGCTTATCTTTGTCACAAAAATAATTTTATTCCACAAGAACAAAATCTCCATTAATCGAGACGAAACGTGATTCAGGTCAAATAGCGGAACGCTTGATTTTTACTTTAACTCTATCGATTTGGCTATTAAATTTTTAACTACTTTCAACTCGGACTAA